TCTTTTTTTTTTTTTTTTTTTTTTGGTTTTTTGAGGCAGGGTCTCACTATGTAGAGACTGAGCTGGATCTCACTATGTAGCCAAGGCTGGTCTCAAACTCACAGCGATCCTCCTGCCTCAGCCTCCCGAGTGCTGGGATTACAGGCGTGCACCACCACTCCCGGCTATTAAGTTTTATTTCAATATGACAGTTTTGGAACTTTTTTTGAGTACACAAATCTTGCACTTCTTTAGTTATATTTATACCTAGGTAGTTCATTTTTTGTATCTATTTTTTAAATATTTTAAACTAAGTTGTAATATGTAACTAATAAATAAAAATTTTCATATATTTAGGTATACAGTGTGATATTTTGATACATCCTTTTGAGGAACCTCTATACTGTTTTCCCACAATTGCTATACTAACTTACATTCCCACCAAGAATGTACAAAGTTCCCCTTTGCTCCACAACCTTCACCAACACTTACCTTCTGCCTTTTTGATAACTGCTATTCTGGCATGTGTGAGGTGATAGCTCATTATGATTTTAGTTTGCATTTCTCTAATGATTAACAATGTCAAGCATTTTTTCATATATCTCTTGGCCATTTATATGCCTTCTTTTGAAAAATGCCTATTCAAGTTACTTGCCCTTTTTAAATTGCACTATTTTCTTGCTTTTTAGGTTGAGTGCTACATATACTTTGGCTATGAATCCCTGGTCAGATATATGATCTAGAAATATTCTCTGCCATTCCATGTTTTCTCTTCATTTTGTTGCTGTGCAGGAGCTTCTCAATTTGATGCAATCTCACTTGTTGATTTTTGCTTTCCTTGCCTGTGAATTTATTCTTTTTGATGTTATTACAAATAGGTTTGAGTTGTTTCATTTTCAGGTTGCTCATTGCCAGTGTATAGACATGGATCTGATCTTTTTATATTACTATATATTCTGCTGAAATATTTGCTCAGTTAGCTTTTTGAAAAAAAAATTCATTATAAGGAGCCGGGGATTTGGCTCAGTGATTCTGTCACCTACCTCGCAAGTGCAAGGGCCCAAGTTCGATCCCCAGCACCCCCCCCCCAAAAAAAATCATTATCAGACATCCTTGTTTTGTTTTTAATTTTTTTTGTTTTTTTTGTACTGGGGATCAAACTCGGGTCCTTGCACTTGCGAGGCAGGCCACTGAACCGCTGAGCTAAATCCCCGGCACAGTTTTTAATCTTAAGGGGAAAGTCTTTAGTCTTTCACCATGAAGCATGACATTAGCTGTGAGTTATTTGTAGATCCTTTTGTTCGGTCGAGGAAAGTACCTTCTATTCCTAGTTTTGTGAGTCTTTTTTTTTTTTAATCATGAAAGGTTAATGGCTTTTGTTATGTGCTTTTCTGCACATGATAAAATAATCATGTGGATGTTTCCATTTATTTTCTTAATATAGTGTATTATACAGATTCATTTCTATATATTGACCTAACTTTGCATTCCTAGGATAAATCCCACTTGCTTGTGGTATATAATCTTTCTCTCATTATTTCTTGAAGGCCCAGATTTTACTTCTAGCTCTTTGTCTTATCCAAAGCATTCACAGAATACTATAATTGGATAAGGAATTAGTAGCTGAGACATGTAATCATCATTATTATTACTGTCATTATAAATATTAACATGAGCACACGGTGGTGACAATCTGAATTGGGATGACACATTCCAATGTGAAGCCTCATTTTAATAAATAATACAAAAGACACTGTTGGCTATATGGATTTTACTTATCTTATGAGACATAAATTTTGAATAAATAATTCATATATTACTAAATAATCTTTACATTCCTGGAAGATGTTTCACTTGGTCAAGATGCTCTATTCCTTATTTAAAAAGAACAAGGGCTGGGGATTTAGCTTAGCGGTTTGGTGGCCTGCCTTGCAAGTGCAAGGACCCCAATTCAATCCCCAGTACCCCCCAAAAAAACTTTTATTAAGTAAATATATACCTACAGAAAGTGCAGTCCCTAACTTATGTGGGTGAACTTACAGTGTGAAAGCATATTTATCCAGTCACTCCATTTTTCACTTTCAGTAGTTTTCATTTAATTACATAAGATATTCAACATGTTATTCTAAAATGGGCTTTGTAGAAGATTTTGCCCAAATGTAGGCCAATCTAAGTGTTCTAAGCATATTTAAAGAAGATTAAACTAAGCTATGGTATTTAGGAAGTTAGGTGTTTCAGATACATCTTGGATGTGATATTTTCAACTTAAGTTTATTGGGTCATAATCCTGTCACAGGCAAGGAGATGTGTATATGGATTTAAGTGTCCAAATCAAAGAATTTGGAAAAAGTAAAACACCTATGAAACCAGTATGCAGATAAAGATGCAAAACATTACAGCACCTGAGGGCCCCCATTGTGTTCCATCTTTGCCACTGCATCTACGAACCAACAGGGATAGCTATTATCCTAACTTCTAACACCACAGATTAGTTTGGCCAGCTTTTAAAACTTTATGTGAAAGGAATAATAGGCTCATTCCACTCAGTACTATATTTGTGAGATTCATCATGTTGTTGCATCCAGTTGTTGGATGTTCATTTTCTTTGGTTCATAATGCCATATTATATGAATATGCCATGGTTTACTGATCCATTATAATGGTATTGGGCACTTGAGGAGCTCCGGTTTAGGAATATTATGAACAGCACTGTTGTGGATACTCTTGTATATGTATCTTGGTGAGAATGTTTCTTTTCTGATGAATGTACATGTAGGATGGAATTGGCACTCCTAGGTACCCTTTAAAAGGTTTTTCCCACTCATTATAATGGAAAGAACCACATTTTTAAAATGATTACTTCTTTTTCTTATTCCATAAACATGTAATTTAAAAAATAAATTAGCAAATAATATCATGCTTCATGCTGGGATTGTCTTTAGCAATACTGTCATTTACAATAGCTACTAGCCATGTAAGGTTATTAAACACCTGAAATGTGCTGAAAAAATAATGTACAAAATAGATTTCCAAGACTTAAAAGGAAGAGTGTATATGATCTCATTAATAATTTTAAAATATTCACTACAGGTTGAAGTGACAGAATTTTGGATTTGGGTTAAATAAAGTATATTATTAAAATTAATTTTGTCTTTCTTTTTAAATGTAACTACAATTATATTTCTATTGGTCAGTGCTGGTCCATAGTATGCAATTAAATAAATGAATAAAGATGTTTAAATGTTTTATACATACATTACCAGAAGGTTTTTTTTTTTTTTAACAAAGATCACACACACTTTAGGCTACTTGTACATTTCAAGAGTGGTACATTGTTTCTAGCATGTCATTTCTGTTTAATACATATTTCTTAACTATTTGCCAAACTTCATCATTTGTTTTTTAGATTAAACTTTCACAATGCTTACATTGTACATGAGAATATTCCCAAGAGAACAACAGAAGATAACCAAAGTCGGAATAGAAACCGATAGTAGGAACTGGATATGAAAAATATTATTTGGTAACATTTTAAAGACTTCTTTGATCAAAGAAATAGAATTCCTTATACTGCAGATTAATATGAAGTTTATTATGCTTTGTGTGGAATATGTATAAATAACATATCTTAAAAGAGCTCATTCATCTTTTTGTTAACAAAGACTTTTGTTTACATAATTATTTCATTTTTTTTCCTGACTGGCAGAGTACCAAGAGCCACAAATTGCTTAGTCATTTGAGAAGTGACACATTACATGGTACTCCGTCGTCATTCCTTATTCACTTTGCTTGCAGCTGACAAACTGGGATGCTTGACTCAAGCAGAAAGCTAGGCCTTGCTCAGGAAGTTCTCAAATATGGTACTGTTTTCTTAATTCATAATTTTTGCGTTAAACTTTGAAAGATAAGGTTTAAATAAAGTCTAAAGTCTCAGCATTCTCTTGGTGAGGGGAAAAAAAGTCAGTCTCACGATCTTGGAATCTCTTTAAAGTTCATCTGACACTTGGGCGACTCCCAGCTGTTGGAGGTGAGGGAACAGACTCATTGAGAGTCACAGCCACGTGTCAGGTGTTGACTCTGAAGGCTAACTAACTGGACCGCAGCTTGGGAAGCAACTGATCCAGGTCAGCCTCCCACACACCCTTGGGGAGGCAGGTCTTTGTTGTCCTGTCCATCACCACCCTTGCTGCTCTTAGGCCCCAATTTTCCCTCTGGGACGGCCTCGGAAGTTCCACTTCTTCTGGTTTCTGTCTGCTGGAAGCCCTTCTAGGCCCCTTACATTTGCCCTTTTTTTTAGTGTTAACCTTTCTACCAGATGGCTCTTTCTCTCCACTCCCTACCCCTACCCCAGCTTTCATTTTCCAAGGGAGACTTGGATTAATGATCAGTTTCATCAGACAGTTATCAGATAATTGCTAATCACCCCCGTGTCCAGTTAGAGCTGCACGTTCGAGGTTACTTCAAGGGCCCCTTTATGGATTGTATGCAGCTGGGACACGTGGTCACTCTTAATCTAGGCCACCGGGGTGTGGAGTGGACTCGGGGTAGTTATTTGCTCTATCTATCCTCTGGGAAGTTTGGGTTGGCTCTCCTTCCCAAAACGCTGTACAAAAAGCATGCCTCCTTTTAGCACGACCTTTTTCAAAGGGAATATGGGATTTAGTTCTGTGGTGCCGCCCCCTGCCTCGAAAGCACAAGGTCCCGAGTTCGATCTCCAATACCAAGAAACAAAACAAAACAAAACAAAACAAACAAAAACAAAAAAAGGGAGTATGCATAAATTAGATTTAGGTATAGGAAATAGTGAAGGGATAAAACCAGTACTGACGCAGGATCAAGAGCTAGCTTTGCCCACGTGAAATTTCTTGGCAGTGAAACAAGTCGATCTTCAATACATTTTGTTTGGCAAATCAGACCATTTTCGAGTCACTGGTCGTGGTTTTCTGGAGGATCCTGGTCTGGGCATGCAGAAGCGCTGTGAGTCATGGTCTTCCTAGGAGACCTGAAGATTTAGCACTTTGGGGGCGCCTTGGCTCCTGGTTAGGGAGAGAAATCCTAGCAATAAGTCACAGGCCGGGATCTGCTGCAGGGGGCTGCGTGTGAGGCGTCGAGTAGGCAGGAAAGCTTGGTCACCCAGGCCCCGGGTCCGCATTCCTGAAGCCCGGCGCCGTCACCTGGCTGCAGCTTGTCCCCCGTCGGCACCGCCTCCCCGGAGTTCCCAGCTCACAGGCTGGTCCCGGAGAGTGGGCGGCCCCTTTCCAGAGCGCTGAAACTCTTACTTTCCCCGGCCCTGCTCCTCCCCTCCTTCCTCCTCCTCCGCCGAGCCTTCATCTTTGCCTTGGCCTCTTCCTTCTCAGCCTTTGCCTCCCCATTGCGCAACGGACACCCGGTCCGGACCGACGCGGCCCCAGCTCTTCACTGGACAAGAAAACGAGGCCGAGAGGTGAGTCCCCCGGGTGGCAGGGTAGGAAGGACGGAAGGGACAGGACTGCCCCGCGGAGGTCAAGCAGAGGGGACATAGAGGGGTGCGGGTGAGCACCCGGGGCCGCCAGGAGGCCGGGCGCGCGAAGGTGACGAGCCGGCTGGACTGGGACGGCCAGGAGGGGCCGGTGGCCGCGCTCCTCCCGGGCCCTCACTTCTCCCGCGGACTTCCGCACTCCGCTCGCGTGACGTTTTGCCGGCCGGGGGCTGGAGGGGGAAGCGAGCATCGAGGCAACGATTTTCGCCCCGGTGCAAGTGTGGGCTTTGCACTTGGGTTCCAGATCTGCAGGGCTGGGGGTTGGGGAGGGCTGGGGGGAAGGGAGCGGCTGCCCCGAGGAATTTGGTGGCTGCAGGGCAGCGCCTTCTGCAGTGCGGGAGGTGGGTGCGGCTCCGCTTGCTGATGGGGGTTAGTGAGTGGACGCGAGCGGCTCCCGGAGCCCTGGCCGGCTCCCTTTCGCCGTTGTGCTCCGGGCACTCGTTTCCCTGGTGAGCGGGCAGTTGGGATCAGGGGCGGCTGCGCTGGCCGCGGAGTCCCGGAGACAAAGGCTTCCGGGACGCAGCCCTGCCCGCGAGCGAGCTGTGCTGCCCCAGAACCGGGCCGACCCGGGTACTCGTCAACTTTGCAGCCGCGCCACTGGCGATCAGTCCTGTGACGGCCTGTAGGGGAGAGGGTTTGGGGACCCTCACTTGGCAGGATCCCAAACTTGCAGGAGCGATTACCATATATGGAGCGTGCGCGCCCCAGCGAGGGAGGAAGGAACCCAGTCATCTTTTGACCTGCGCCAGCTGTTCGTGGTTGCAGGGAGCGGGTGCGGGGCTGGGAAGACGCCCTGCCCCAGTGCGCAAAGTTGGCTTTTGATTCCAGGGTCCCTGACTCGGGCAGGTAGAAAATTTCTATGTATTGCCGCCAAATTTAAACAAACAAATATAAGAGGGTTCTCACATACATTTCTAAGTGTATACTGATGGGGCTTTTCAGCATATGCTGTAGCCCTCCTGCCTCTGCTTTCTTTGTGAGTCCCACGCACAAAGCCTAATAGAGTCTGGGCCACAAGGCCTGACTAGCATCTGCTGTCACCTTCCTTTTAGTTACTCTTCCTTTCTTCTGGGCCAGCCTCTCCCTGACAAGTGCTTTCTCCCCCCCCCCAGACTTGCTCTGCTTAGGGCCTCTCATTGTTCTGCATCCCGGGCTTTCGTCACTGTAAAATGTCACGGGCCTTCTAAGGCCCGTGTAACAATGAACATTTTGCATCCTTGTCCCCCCTCCGATGGTAAAATAAGTGAATAAACATGCCAAATTATACATGCCAGCAGAACTATCTGAGCCTGTTATTTTCCTACTTATAGGGGTCTGGATGGAGAGCCTTTCTTGGTTTGTAAATGATCTGCCTTAGTAAGTACTCAGCGTGTGCCATTTCATACAAATGCACTATTATATTAAGTACATTTGCATAACAGCAAGAGAAGAGAGAGGGAGTTAGAGCCAGAATGATGTGTTAGAAATAGCATTTAATTTTAGGGCTTAACCCCACTGAGCTGTTTCATCATCCATAAAATGGGATAAATTACAAGTCCTTTGCATGGTGCTTAAAACTGCACAAATTAACCTAGATAAGGAACCAAATTATAAAAGAAACACTGGTTGCCTTCCCTTCTGTGCCCTTCATATAATGGAGGTATGCATGCTGCACATAACAGAGAGATTTGCTCTTGGATTCTCTTAAGTCTCAAGTGTGTTGCTGGTGGTGAGTGGAACGAGCTGGGGAGTGATGAAAAGATACATTTTCTGGGTGGGGAAGTCAAAATCTGAGAATTGGAGTGATCCTTAAAAATCCTTAATCTTGGACATTGTGTTTTCCCTCCTGTCCAGTGTAGGCTAATTTCTTCATCTTCATTCAGACACTTTCACTACATCTGCATTAATGCTGCTGGCAACAAGGTTCACATTATATTCATTATTAAGTGGTTTTGGTTGTTAGAGAATTTTTTAATGTGGCTCCCAAATCCTACCTTTTATTTCCTTTTTGTACTGAAGATTGAACTCAGGGAGTGCTGTACTTCATCCCCCCCCCCACTACTTGTTTTTTAAAGATAGGGTCTCACTAATTTGCCTAAGATGGCTTTGAACTTGCAATCCTCATGCCTCAGCCAAGGAGCTGGGACTACAGGCCTGTGCCATCACGCGCAGCTCCAATTTTATATTTCTTTTTTTTTAAAACAAAATATGACTATCTTTCAAAACACAACTAAAAAATAACAAAGTAAATAGGAAAGACACAGTATTTCACAATAACAATGTGTGATGAAAAATCTTTACATACTGAATCATCCATCATCTCTCAGGAATTAGGAACAGACTATTACTATAAGGGGAACTGAAAGAAACAAAAACCAAATTAACACAAAGGAACAATAATGTTATACAAAGTTGAGATGGCTCAACAGTATGTTATATAAAGATGAGAAAGATTAACATTAAGAAAAACCGCTTAACATCAATTATTACATACATATTGCTATTAATGGTCACACAGTTTTGGGAAATGGGGAACTTTGATTTCAACACTAAAGCACTTCAATCAAGAGGAAATTTACTCAAATATAGATTTTGCATACAATTTGCAATGGTGATTATAATCAATAGAAATAATTCCAATGCAGCTGAAACATTCATATTTACATAAGCATATTTACTGCATATAAATCTTACAGCTAATATATTAAATTTGTAAGGCCAGGTATGGTGAACTACACCTATAATCCCAGCACTTTGGAGGCTGAGGCAGGAGGATTCCTGAAGGCTTGAGGCCAGCCTGGGCTACATGGTGAGTTCAAGGCCAGCCTCAACTATGTAGTGAGACCCTGTCTAAAAGAACCAAACAAAATATAAAATAAAATAAATTTGTATCATTTTACTTGTGAAAAAATGCCAAAAGCTTGGTGACAAAAACACCATTAATGGCAGATACCACTGAAAATTAAAATTAGAAGGAAAATATCATTTAAGTAAAAACTAGCTTTGAAAGCTGCCATGTCCTTAAATTCTTCACAAAGTTTCACTTAGTCTCAAATGTATCCTGTGAAAAGTGATAATAAACACATGCACTGCATACTTATGGGAGCACTGAGATGAAGCCCTTGTAATTCCACCACACTGAACTTCTGTGGTAACGGAGCCACCCTTCCAGCCCCTAAGAATTAGTTCATCATAAACAACAACAACAACAACAACAAAATCATTCTTATGACTAGTTCATATCCTCTGAAAGGCCATCCTTTAGTTCTTTCCAAGAAGTAGATTTGAGTCCAGTTTTTTCTTGCAGCAATGATTTTCCATGGCAATATTTGTTAAGCTGAGAAGTCTCTGAGCATTATGAAGGCTCATTTTAGTTTTGAAGACATGGCTGGTAGAAACAGTGGTGTAAATTCCTTTTCAATAATCACCTTTGGTTCGTAGTTGAGACCTATAAAATGAGGGACACTGATGGGCGATATCACCGATAGTACCATCGGATGTGTGCAGTTTAGCTCCAAATATGTCTCTCATCTTCCTCAACTGAAAGTCTGTCTTCTCCTTCTTTCCTTAGGAAATCCAATACTCTTCATTTCACTGTAAGACTTTGCTACACAATCGTCTTTAAGTTCACACTCTTTAGGAAACCATTCAGATTATAAAGGCCACTATGAATACAAAGTTGGATGTCCCAACTCAGAAGTTCCCCATTGTTGATTAAAAAAATGATGAAAACAGGGACAAACTGTCTCTTTGGCATAATTGGCTCCAATTTCGTATTTCACCTATTCACCCTGCCCAATAGTGCCTCACAAAGTAAGACTATCTACGAAAGTACCTAAAAAGAATCTTAGTTTAAAAAAAAATAGCAGCAAATCTTCTCAAAGCCAAATTCATGCGTAAAGATTCTTTAGAGTGATAAAAATGCAAATAAATCTACAGGGAAAAAACAGTAAAGATCGCATTGGTTCCTCTAGCTGGAAGAAAGCAGGATCTACACAGGCTTAGTCATTGTTAGAAGGCTAGATTTTCATTGTGTTAGTTTACTCCTGGGGGGCTTTTCTCACTTGCTGTCCATTTACATCAGGGCTGTGAACTTACATTTTAGAATCAGTGGAGACAGCATGTTGTTTTTTTTTTTTTGGTACCGGGGATTGAACTCGGGTCCTTGCGCTTGCAAGGCAGGCCACCGAACCGCTGAGCTAAATCCCTGGCCCAGCATGTTGATTTTACTAGAAGTTCTGGCAAACCATTGGGGCTGAACTTGATTGCTCTGGAAGGGATCCCCTACTCAATGCTGTGAGCCCATCACTGTGGCCCTGAACCATTTCTGGAGCCTAAGGTGAGGCTCTACCCAAGGTGCATGGGGTTAGAATAAGGAAGGACATCACTCTAGCCATAGACAAATTAGACTGGTCCTGCCAGAATGGAGAGTGGGTTCTGGGCAGGTAAAAACAACAGCTGTGCCCCACTCTGACATTAATAGACTTTTCCCTACCACTAAATACCTCAAGGTGCGGTGTTCAGGCCTTCAGCATAGTGGCTATGTTCTCTGAGTGTATTTTAGGTTTTTATAGACTATACGTTGAATTACATATGCTGTTGCAGGTTTGATTTTATTAACACAAAGTCCCCAGTATTTGAACACTATGATTTTTGATAAGCTTTATGTGGATGTGTTTAATTGAAGATTGTGCATTTTATTGTAATATAAGTTCTTTAAATTATGCTCACACAGATAACATAGCAGATGGTAGTAGCACTTTTAATTATTAGCAGAAAGAAAATCTGGTGTTCCAGACAATATCATTTAAACAGGTGGCATACAGTCATAGATGTCACTCATGTTTTTAAAAGCTATCAGGAATTGGTTATAGTCCATCTGGATGAAGTTGTTTCTTCCAAATTGTCACCTTAAAGGAAATTAGACTTGTGGCCCTGCATTTTTTTTGGTCCTGTATTTGATTTGGAAAGTGTATGATTTGCAAATACACTGCTGGGCGTCGTGGCACACGCTTATAATCCCAGCTACACTGGAGGCTGACGCAGGAGGATTGCAAACAATTTAGCAAGATGCTGTCTCAAACAAAGGCAAAAGGAAAAGAAAAAAACAGGACTGATGGCCTATTCTATCCAGTTCCTCTTGCTCTCTGAAGTTCCTACAGGTGTGACTCTGTCCTCTCTTGTCCTTTTGCTTGTCAGCCCATGAACCAGGATCTGCTTTAACCTCTACTCTTAGTGCCAGATGGTAGCATAGAGCTCTCTGCAGAGGGGAACTTACCTTTTAGCATGTGAAGAGGGGCGCACAGTGTTGAGGGAACATACGGTGGGGAGCTCTCCTGGCCCAGGGCTTCAGGGAAGGCTTCTGGACGAAGTTAATCCCTCCTGGGGCTGCATGTGTGAGTTACCCTGGAGAATGAGGAACAGCAGCCTGGGCTACAGCATCATGGGTGAAGTCTGAAGGTGGGAGGGGCACTTGAGGAATGCAAAGATGTCCTGTGTAGCCACAGCCTAGAGCCCAAGGGCACAGAGGGAAGAAGGCTGATCTGTATGCCGAACCCAGCCTGTGGTGGACCTAGCAAGCCAAGAGAAACCGAGCTCCCCTCGCATCCTAGGCTCCTTCTTATTCTCCACCAAGGTTCTGCACTGCCCTCGGGTCTTCCGGTTCCTGCATGTGACCCAGAAGTGATCCCGGCACTGACCTGAGGACATTAAAATTGCCCTTGAGTCCATCCTTCTCTCCCGTTGGACTTCAGACTGCCAAAGAGCAGGGAGTATGCCACTCTATCTCTGGGTCCCCAGCGTCTCCTTCAGGGCTGTCTCAAGGTATTAGGCTCTTGCTCCTTTGCTGCCATAATTCTGCATGTGCCCAACACACTTTCCCGTTTGCCTCCCGTGTGCCCTCCGCTAGGCCTTTTGTGGCCCCCACAGTGCCTTGGACCCCCACTCAGAGAGTGTCTGTCACACTGTTGTCGCTTCTAGGCCTTTCTCTGCTCTCGAGCGCAGATCCTGTGCCACCTGATACCTACCGGGGCACTGTGAAGAGGACCTGTGTAGAGTATCAGGGGTCAAAGACAAGGGCTGCCTTCTCCCAAGTAGATGTAGAGAGCAGGAGGGGGTGGCGGAGCCAGAGCAAGGGGATGCTGTGGTGCTGTCCACATCACAAAGGTGTTTTTAGGAAGAGGAGTGCAGTAAGTGGTACTGACAAATGCTATATGAAGAACAATGAAACAAAACAACAACAGCACCAACAAAAACCTTTAGTTTTGTTTGTGCTAGAGGAAATATAGAAATGGCAATACTGGAGATTTCCTTCCTCTCTTTCAGGTGATAATGAACGTGGATCATGAAGTGAACCTCTTAGTGGAGGAAATTCATCGCTTGGGCTCCAAAAGTAAGTATCCTGAGTGCTGGGATTACAAGCAAGTGCCACCACTTCCGGCTCTTTGTTTCTAATGCTGAGGTTGAACCCAGGGCTTGACATATGCTAGGCAAGTGCTGAGAGCCACGGAGCCAGCCCTGCTGCCCTTTTTAAAATTTTATTTTGAGATAGTCTCACTTAGTTGCCCAGGCTAGCTTCAAACTTGCCATCCTCCTGCCTCAGCATCCTGAATAACTGAGATCACAGGTGCACACCACAGCACCTGGCCTAAATAGAATATTTTTCCAGAGTTTACCTCCTAGCAGACAGAACCAGCATTATGGGGAGGCCTATGGCTTCAGGACACAGTGCCTACAGCGCAAGGACACCTGCAGACACAGGACTGAGTGGGAGCCTCTGAGGAAAAGAATAGTTTGAGATGTTTTATTATCTTTTGAGTAGAAAGAAAATTGTGAAGCTTCTTTCATCTGGTTGCATTAAAATCTGGTAATTTAATCATATTCAAATTTTTATTTATCCCCCTATTAAAATTCGTGTTTTCTGCTTTATCCTAGTAACATCTTGCAAACGTTTAAGTGACCAGGCTCTTAGATTAAAATTATTTGAAATCCTCTCTATTTTCTCTGAATTCTTGGGTTTTGTACAATTATGAGCATATAACTAAAATATATCATCTTTTGATGTTCTTTTTCTTTTATTTTTCCTTCAACAACAATTCAGCTACTGTGAAGTTAGTGACGTATAAAATTGGTAATACTAGTCTCTTCCTACATTGTAATGAGGGTTATGATGTTAGGGTTAGTTATCTGGCACATCTAAGCCAATATAAGCAAGAATTTGGGGAGCATTTTGAAAATAATAAGAATAGTAGAAGATACATCAGCAACAACTTAGGTAATAGAATTCAGAGTTTTAATCTAAGTTTTAAGGTTACATCATGTAAGTGAAAAATAGCTCTAAGAAGTATCTCATAAGAGCGGGAATTGATGAAGTCTCATCTGTTTCTTTTAAAGTCAAAATTTTTAAAGTCTCATTTTTCATCCAATGAGAAAAGATTAAGTGGAGAATGATTTGATGATTTGAATTCTGTCATCCAACAAGTATTTCTTGATTGCCTTCTTTGTGCTCTGGTGCAGGAGATGCAGAAATCAACAAAATTCCATCTGTCTGGAAGACAGACAAACATCGGGAAGTGGTTAAGAACATGGGCAGTGGAGTCAGACTCTTTGGGAATGAATCACAGCTTCTTTACACACTTGCTCTGTGTCCTTGGGCACATTACTGAACTTTTGCTTATTGATTTACTTATTTGTGTACCAATAATAATACTCTATCCCAGTAGTTGAATTGAAAATCAGTGAGAGTAATTTTTAGAGTTCTCACCCAAAGAGTTGTAGGTAATGTATGTGTTTATTAGCTCAATTTAACAATTGGACAATGTTCCAAAGCATCAGGCTGCACGTCTTAAATATAGGCAACTTTGTCAATTTAAAATATGAATTTTTCATATTAAAATCTCAAATATAAGGATGCATTTTTTTTTTTGAGACAGGGTCTCACTATGTAGTTGAGACTGACTTGGAACTCACTTTGTAGCCCAGGCTGGTCTCGAACTCACAGCAGTCCTCCTGCCTCTGCCTCCCGAGTGCTGAGATTACAGGTGTGAGCCACCATGCCGGGCTTAAGGATGCACCTTAATACCTGGTTGCTATTGTTAAATGGGCACTTTAATTGGAATATAAAATAATGGTACTTCTTGCAATCAATGGAATCTTTTCTATGAAATGAGGATCAAGTGAATTGTAATGATGGCAAAATACAGCAAACAGTTTTGTTGTTGTTGTTGTTGGTACTGGGGATCGAACTCGAGTCCTTGCACTTGTGAGGCAGATGCAGAACCACTGATCAAACAATTTTAAGAACATAGCAGGTCCTCAATAAATGTTATCCATTGTTACTATAATTAATGGTAAGTGCTTTGATAGACATATACTCAGTTTTATAAGAAGAGATGGTAACTGATGAAATCACGGAGGTTGTCCTTGAGAAGGTGACATTTGAGTCCTTTTTTTTTTTTTTTTTGGTACTGGGGATTGAACTTGGGACCTTGCATTTGCAAGGTAGGCAGCAGAACCACTGAGCTAAATCCCCGGCCCTTGAGTCCACTTTTGAAGAAAATGATTTAACTAGGGAAAGGAGTCTGGATGCTTGGCAGTTAGCTCAACACGGACAAAGTTATGAAAGCAGGATCTCTTGTGGCACCCTGGGCAATAGTAAGCAGTTCCTTGTGACCAGGTCGTAAGGTGTATGGAGCAGTGGCAGAAGTAGATGCTTGACTGGAGCCTTAGCAGTGAGATCATGGGCTTCACTGTATTTTGCAGGTGATAGAGAGCCATGGAAGTTAGACGAGTATCAGTCAGATGTGCATCTTATACAATTTCTTCTTACATTTTTTATTCCACTCCAATGTGCATGGTGTATTAGAGGACAAAAATGAGGAAAGGGAGGCTGGTAAGAAATTAGTGATCAGCTTGCTCTTACCCAGGTAGGAAACAATTAGGGCCTCAACCTGGGAATGAATGCCCATCGGAAAGGAGAGTTCAGCGCTGCAGAAGATGCAAGGAAGGTGAAATCACCTGGGTGTTTGAGGACTGAGCGCTGAGGGGACAGGATCGCTTCAAAACTGGACCCATGTGCCTGCCTTTGGTGCTTTTAAAATTTAACCTAAACTGAGAATTTACTGTTTTCTGGACACCCTGAAAACAATTTCACCTATGTATACAGTAACTATTAGTCCACACAACAATCTTATCTTAGGTATTTTCCCCTTAATTCGGTGGATGAATAACTAAAGCAGTTACTCCATGGAGCTTGGAGACTATGCCTGGGGCTATTCAGCAAATCACAGCCCCAGTTTGAACTGCCTTTTGTCTACTTTTTGTCTATCTTAATTTTCAGTGTCTGTGTTAAAAACTGGCCTCCAAGTAAGATTACCTAGGGCTCTTGTTTTTTTGCTTTGTTTTGTTTTTAAGGGTTCTTTCTTGTTAATTGTGGATTTCTGCCCTACCCAGAATTTAGATTCAGTGGACTTGAGAAATACGCCTTTTTAAAGCAGTTCTGAATGTGTTGAGAGCACACTTAGGAGAAATACTGCTCTTGATCCTGGATTTCCTTTTTATTTATTGTCTTTATTGATTTAATATAATTTTTAAAATTGAGTCAGGTGTGGTAGTGCATGCTTCTAATCCCAGCACTTGGGAGCCCGAGGCAGGAAGATTGTGAATTCAAGTCCAGCCAGGGCTACATAGCAAGTTTAAGGTGAGCCTAGACCACGTAGTGTGACTCTGTCTCAGGAAACAAAAACAGGAACAAACAAACAAAAAATCAAAACTGAGTGAAATTCATCACACATAGCATATCCACCTAAGAGTTCCTTTACTTTCAGTTTTTGTCTAGATAATGCTAAAGCTAGGAGGCGTAAAACACATTGTATTTATCTCATCACTTGGATATAGAAAGAGGCTACCTTGAATTTTTGGCAAAATGTTACATTGTCGTATTGCTTAGCCCGTGGTGAGCTATTTATTAAAGATTTTGTAAGTTGACCAGACACAGAGTGAAGAAACAGTCTTTGCATGCACTAATGTAGTATTTTCTCAACTTAGATGCTGATGGAAAGTTAAGTGTGAAATTTGGGGTCCTTTTTCGAGATGACAAATGTGCCAACCTGTTTGAAGCCTTGGTAGGAACGCTCAAAGCTGCAAAACGGAGGAAGATTGTTACGTACCCTGGAGAGCTGCTTTTACAAGGTGTTCACGACGATGTTGACATTATATTGTTGCAAGGTTAATATGGTCTGCACACCTCTGTGTGTTACTGTTTTTCATCTCTGATAAACTGGAATGTTAAGTCAAGGAAAAGACATGAACTTAGTGTATTTTTTATAAAACTTTGTAAACAGAAGGGGTCTCATATTTTAGAAGTCTTCCCTTTTTTATATCTCAAAAAGAAATTATATGTATTACACTGTAAGATAAGCAAAACCTATTATTTTTTTCTCAAGACTCTGGTTGGGAAATGTAAGTAATGAGGCCTGTTTTTTTGATGGGTTAGGGGATATTTGTTTCATAAATCATTTGTAGACAATTTCTATAGCTATTCGACATTCTGTCAAAACAACAAATGGATGACCAACTCCCACAAGAAATGTTATAATTTTATGTAATAAAAACATGTAATTGTCTGAAGATCAACTTGTCTTATCTATCACTTAGGTAACTGTGTGCCTCTCAGAATTCAGTTTTTTGTATCAAGATTAGGTAACTGTAGTAAGTTATCTTAATTTGAAAACTATTCTCTTAAAACTACCACTGGCGTCCATGGCACAGTGGAATCTTGGCAGAAGTGCTTGGAATGTGTATGTTACTGGGAATTGAATACAAGGCCTTTGCACTGAGCTATATTCCCAGCCCATTTAATTTTTGATTTCTTTTTAGATAAAGTCTTCCTAAGTTGACCAGGCTGGGCTTGAACTTAGAATCCACTTGCCTCAGCCTCCCAGAGTACTGGGCTTGCAGAACTGCATCACCACATCTGGTTTCTACATAGAGTTTTATGTATTTTCTTTTAGATTCAAGGTACCAATTCTTTTGCAATAATTTCATATAGGGACAGTTCTGTCTTATTTGTTTTTTGTTTTGTTTTGTTTTGTTTTTAGTTTTTTGAGACAGGGTCTCACTATGTAGTTGAGACTGACCTGGAACTCACTATGTAGCCCAGGCTGGTCTCGAACTCACAGTGATCCTCCTGCCTCAGCCTCCCGAGTGCTGGGATTACAGGAGTGCACCACCACGCCCAGCAGTTCTGTCTTATTTGGATCATGAATTTACAATTCAAAATCACAGATTTGATCTTTTTTTTGAGCTAGATTCACAGTGAAGATAATAACTTTTGGCTATAAACTATATTCCAGTTAATCATGTTAATAATGAGTGCCATCAGCTATAACCAGGTGGGAATTAGAAATTGTGAGCAGCTGTACACAAATATTCTTTCATTTATTGGACAAAATGTATGACATCTATTTAGTTTAAGTCCCAGTGTTAGGTAGGCACTAGGAAATACTATAGCAAAGCAAAGAAAGAAAATTTGTTTCTAGTCCTCAAAAAGAAAAGGATTCTGGATATGTGGAAACAATATAGGTTCACTGTTAAAGCAAAAGACCTTTTGGAGAAAAATCCACCAAACTGTATGGCAAGAAATAAAAGATAAATGAAAGGATCAAAAGTCACCACCATCTGTGACCTTAGTAACTGAGAGAATGATGTGTTGTTAGCAGACAGGTTAACTAGAATACTGGCTATCGTAGAGGAAGTTTGGGGCAAATGATAAAAGGTACAGGTACAAAAATGATGATTTGTTCCTGGGCAGATGTAGTGACTTTCATTGAAGGTGTAAAGTTTGTTGGGACTTTAAAGCAACAGAAAAATAGAGAAGGATTAGAGTTAGGATCATTACTGCATACAAAAGTAGAGAAAGTAAGTTGAGGCAAGGAAGAAAGTACAAGGTACTGAGTTTGATTCCCGGTACCAGAAAAAAAACCAAACAAACAACAACAACAAAAACTAAGTGTATGTCTTAATAAAGGTGAATGACAAATAACTATTAAAAAGCTACAAAAATAATATAAATACAATTAGTAATGTGGTAACTTTACTTTTCAAGTTCTACAACAGCACTATTTTGTATATTGATTATACAACCACTTTTTTTTTTTTTTTTGGTACTGGGGATCTCACTCGGATCCTTGCACTTTCAAGGGAGGCAGCAGCACCACTGAGCTAGACCCCCGGCCCTTATACAACCACTTTTAATTATAACCTATCTTCACAGTAAACGAACTGTTCATTAAGCGTTGCTGAATGCTACCATTTTTGTGTCTTCACATTTCTTTCAGTTCCTAAAACGGAAGACCCAAGCACCACTTGGTACCCTGGAGTCACAATGTACAAACGAGTTACAGGAAAAATGATGTGAGAGATTTGTTTCAATGGAATATTAGCATCCCAGATTTCTCTGGTGTCTGAGATACTTCCCCTGATTCCAGATCATAAGGCAGAAAACCCTTATGAACTGGGAGACAAAGCATAAACACCCGTGATAGAAAAGGAACAAACCCGCTTGTCTGGCTGGAGTATTGGGTTCATTCATTAATAGTCTCATATAACTAGCAAGGTCGAGAGAAATGCATGTACGTACATTTATTTATTTATAGGCAAATATTCTTGGGGAGTTCCTCTTCCTTAAAAAAAGTTATAAATAACTCTTCCAAGAAAACCAGCTCCTTAGGAACCTTTTATGATGAAAAATCAGAAACAACCCTGTATTTGTAGAGGATGACTCCTTATGAAAACTCATCTCCTGCAGTTTTTGTTCATCTTTAACAGCCTCAACTATAAGTTTCTTTAAAAAAAATCTTTCCTTTTCCTCTGTAGTTCTCCTTCTAGTGACTAGTTAGATACTTTTGCCTGGAAGGAGTGGAAACCCACTTAACTAGGTCAATGTGTAACGCAGGTCAAGGAGGAAGATATTAGACCTCACTGAAATTCAGGAGAGGAGCTGCTGTGGTGGGGGACTCCTAACCAGAGCTTTTCAGCATCTAAATACTCTGGTCGTTCTGATTCCGTAGACGCAATGGATCCCAGGCATTTCCACAAGGAGGCATCTTTCTGGCTGATTCTGATGGGTCGCCCTGGCGAAGAACCCCTCCTACAGTGCTGAGGTTTCCAAGTTAACATCACTCCACTGTTTTCATAGATGGAAAGCTTTCTACTTAAAATGTGTAAAACTGGGCTGGGGATTTGGCTCAGTGGTTCTGCTGCCTGCCTCGTAAGCACAAGGGCCCAAGTTCAATCCCTGGTACCCCCACCAAAAAAAAGAAAACAAAATATGTGCAAAATATATCTAAACTCGCACTTTGTGCAGATGCCTTCCTAACACTCTCTCTGCGCCATTTTTGGAGTGAATTCTACCTGTGCTTCCACATGGCTGCTTTTGTGTTTTGGTTGATTTCTTTTGTCAAGGGCACAAAGAACTGAGGAAGGGAGGCCAATTCCTTGTCGCTTCCCTGTGATGTGATAGAAGTATGAGCAGCTCAGTTCATCCCTAGTTGACAAGTTTTTGTGCCAGATCACCTCAAAACTCATTGGCCAGCCAAGGTTGACTAGGTCAGCCACCTACTGCGGATCCCGTCAGCCATGGCTGTGGATGCAGGTGAGAGATTAAGCATGTGGCACAAAATGTGGCTGTCTAGAGCCACTGACACAGGGCTGTGGCTTTGGCAGGCAGTGTGATTGCACTCAGACATGCCTTTCCTCAGAGACTATGATTTATGGCACTATGAAATGTCCCATAGTATAAGGTATCAACACAGAATATAATCCTTTGTGTGTACAAGCTTGTAATACATAATATATTCATCTTGAGGAGTTGGCACATACATATATGTGTGTGTGTATATCTATATATATCTATATCTATCTATCTATCTATCTATCTATATATATATATATATATATATATCACATCTTAATCCTTTTTATTCTTTTCCTTCCCACCTCCAATCCTAGGTCCCCTCTCCAGCTGCATAATGCCAATTTCCTTATTTCCCGTCATCTGTCTTTTATTTTGCTCCTTAAAGTATTTATACTTTGGATTTCTCATATAAGAGGAGCCATGTGATTTTTAACATAGGTCTGATTTGTTTCACTTAGTGTTTTTAGACATAAAAGATATTGTCCCTATGTGTTAGTTGTACTTTTTATATCCATGGTCAAGAAACATAAATAATACCAAAAAAAAAATACTACTTTACAGCAAAAATTTCTCCTGAGTTTGCATCTTATCAATCACAAGGACAGAACTCACACTTTAATGGTGATAGTACACTTATTGATGTATACAAGCTGTATAAAATTTCTTCAAGCTGCATAAAATGCTTCATTCAACCATGGTTTCCTGAGTCTTTTGAAATAACTCTGAGCGTTCTGCCCACCGGTTAGAACGACTGGTACAACAAGCACATATCCTGGGTCAGGAAAGCCTGCAACTGGGCCTTAAGGTCTACTTAGTAGCTTTATTTCTCAAGGGGAGGATCTGGTCTCCATATCCACTCCTTGAAGCTGGACAGGCTTGTGATTGCTCAAACAAGAATAAAATGTCCCAGGGATTTTTAAAGGCAGCACGTAAATGACCACAGAACAGCTACCTGGCACGTGGAATGGAACAAGGAGAAGGAGGAAGGACTTCAGGGGTGGTTTGATTAACTCAGCGCTGTCGCTGAGATCCTGGCTCTTTTCTGTTTCTTCATTCTGCCTTTTGCAGTGTCAGTTTCATTTACTTCTCTCTGAGTCTGGTTTTCTTCCTAACCAAAGAGGAGCTGCCAACAGTTTTGGAGTAACACAACTTCTTGGACAAAGAGGGAGAAATGTGGAGAGAGGAAAAAACCCAAGAAAAGACCTGAGAAAAAAGTAGCCTCATGAGATGAATCCATGGTCAAATGAGTTTTAATGTTGCTGTTGAGAAGTCATATCATATTCTAATTCCTTATAATTTTATTTTTTTTAATGTGGAAATTTTTAGGATTTTTTTTAATCTCCAGTCCTCTGAAGTTTTGCCATATGGTATGAACCTTGGTATGAAATTTTTTCTTAATTTGTTATTTTGAGCATTGGATGGACTCAGCTTGGAAACTTACATTCCTTAGTTTTAGGATGTTTTCTTGTGTTATTTCTTTGATAATTTCTTTCACTGTATTTTTTCTATTTTGTTTGTTGCATTTTTTTCCCTGAACTTGTTTGCTATACTTTGGCACTTCTAAATCAAGATTCTAAAAAACTTTCCTTTTCTTTGTTCCCTTGCTTTTTAACTTTTCCTCTTTTTTGTCTCTTTTTCTAAGAATTTCCTTTATTGTTAAAAATGAATAGTTAAAATTCTATTTTTGTATTTTAGTTCCCAATACTTTTTTCCCCCAATACTTTTATTAAAAATAACATTCTGGGGCTGGGATTTAGCTCAGTGGCACCTGCCTGCCTTGTAAGTGCAAGGTCCTAAATTCAATCTCCAGTACTGAAAAAAAGGATGACATTCTGTTACTATTTCATGGATACAATATTTTGTCTCATTTCTCCGAGGATTTATCAGTTTTGTTTATGTTTTCTTCTACTTCTATCATTTCTTCACAAGATCACTTTGACAATTTGCATCTCTACGTTTGTGTTTTTAATTGAGTATTCTCTCAAATACTAAAGATTTTTAGTTCTCTATTGATATTTAACAATGAGTCACTAAACATCTATTTATTTATTTGAATGAATACAAAATTGATATTGTCAACATGTAATAAAGCTTTGCTATGTGATAATCAGATGGCAAGCAAGCTTTCCATTGTAAAAATCCCCAATATCAAAATTGTAGGTGTTTCCTCCACCCACTCCTGAGAACCATTCAGTTTCTCCTGGGAGGGATTTGGCTATTTTTTGCTTGTGTATATCTCATGGGTGCTGATATTCTGAAAACAGATCTAGGAAGAGACTGGGGTCCTACTCTCAATCAGCAAACTTTACTCCTCTGTTTTCAGCTCTGTTTGTTATACTGCTGTCTAGTAGAATTCTCTGCTTTGGAACTACTTCATCATTTTTATTTTTTATTTTTTCACAGACCATGGTTTCTGTTTGTGGACAGCACAGGTAGTTTGGATTCATTACCAGCCCAGTGCACAGATGATCAACCAACTCCTTTTATTTCCTTCATATTCCTTTGTCCTTTTGAATTTGTAGCTTTTTTCATTTATTTTCAGCAGTTAAGAGCAGGTTCAGGGTATGAAAATACTGAAAAGGTGATTAATTTACCACGCTTAGCTGTAAAACCTCTCCCTTTTCCTTATTCTTAAATTGTTCTCTCTGTTCTTCTTTCTGTACAACTCCCAAATTGCAAATGCTAGAAATTCAGTTTCTTTTTCAGCTCTACTTTGTCAGCTCTACCTATGGTAGGGGTCACAGTTGGGTTGGATCCAGCATATGATAAACCTGTAGTCCTCCAAGGCAAGATTTTCCCAACTTCTACTGTCTCTGTCTTTCAGCTTCCAGAGCATCCAAAGCAGAGGAGGACAAAGGAAGAAGGGGTGGTGTGCAGGAGAAGCCTAGGAAGATCCTGTTCTTGGGGAATTTGGGATTTGGGGTGATGGGTTCTAGGCTCATTTTATTTCGTTTGTGTGTTCTGAGGAAACAGAAGAGGAAGAATAGGAAATAAAGGAGAAGAAATAGCACATCATAGTGGGAATGATGGATCTTATAAAATGAAAAAGTAGTAAAAACACTAAAGAATTATTTGGGAATAGTTATTATAGAATGTATTAGTACAGCTTTATCTAATTGCTATGTAATTCAATAACATGTCTCTTCTTAAATAGGTACCAAATTAACTTTGTGGAATGCACCACTTGATTGGAATAGTAAACAGTCTGTGTATATATATATTTTTTTTTTCAATATTCACTGTCTGTTGATGTTGTGGGAAAGGAGCTTACTGATAGCTGGCTACAAAGAGAAACCAAGGGTATTAGCATAAATTGCTCACGATCGAGGTGCAGTTTGGATCTGAAGTCAGCCGCAGAGTTCAGGACCTGAGCTGTGGAAGGGTTCTTCTTTTATTCCCTATGAGATCAAATTCCAAATATGTGGAAGGTGAAGAGCAATATGGGCAAGACTTACGTATTTGGAATTTGTTACCCATATTGCTCTTCACCTTCTGCCCCAAGTAGGTAGCTTTGGCCACCTGCTGCCCAGGGCAGGTGCAGCTCACTTTGGGGGTGAGGCACAGAGCAGTTCTGCACCCCTGGAAGAACTAGGAGGCAAGGGTTCTGACTTGATATCTTCTCCCTTGAAGCAGAAGTCGGTGGCTTAGATGACATCCATCTTTATTTTTCTTTATTTGAGATAAAAATGGAAACATGTCTTTTTGATTTATTTATAGCTGCTCAAATATCAAAAGAACAAGGATTTCTTTAAAAAGGATTCTTAAGCAAGAGATGCACAGGTGCTACACTTTCTCTTTCATCAGTGCAGCCTGTCTCCACAGAAGGTGTGAAAGGATCTTGGCATACTTCCTTTATGAACTGCGGTCACAGCCCATCTGGATGAGAAAATCAGTATGTGGTGCTGCCAGATACTCAAAGACTCAATTAGGAGATTTTCCTCAGTCTCCCATAGTTCTTTCCTGAGGATTTCTTCTGCTACCCAATTATCAGCTTTTGTACTAGAATAGGATTACTAATCATGTAGGGCTTTCTGCTCAGAATTGTGTCCTCAGGGTTTAAAATAGTTCTTGGCACATGCTATTGTAGATAGGTAAATTAATTAGGTATATCTTGTAGGCAGTTAGACGGGGCTCCCCTCAAGGCTCCAGTCCTCAAGGTGCCAGCCCTCCGAGGAGCCAACATGGAGAAGAGTTGAGGCACATTCACTTGTCAGTATTGTGAAAAGAGGAGGCGCTACTGCCCCTAGAGACAGATTGCAATGATTGATGTTCTAAATGGGCAATCCCTTGTATGTGACTCATTTTCCCATTTGATCCCTGTTTAACCGATGTTACCTGGGTGACTGTACTTGTAATCTTATTAGTTAGTTGTGGTTTTGTCCCACCTCATGCCCACCTTGTAATTTTCCATTGGGTCTTGCAGTTTTGTCCCACTTTGTAGCCACCTCACCACATGGCTTTGCTGTATAAAACACCTTTGGAAAGGAGGGTGGGCAGGCAACCCACTTTCTGGTTCCTCTTTTGTCTGACTAAAGACTCTTTCCATGTCTCCATAAAATTATCCTACTCTTAACCTCCACTGTTTCTAGAATTCATTCTTCCATTTTAGAGAACCTGAACTCATATTTCAAATATCCAGCAGGTTTGGGAGTTACATCTCTTCCCCCTAGATCATTTTGGAGGTCTTCCACCAAGATTACTGGATGGAGCTAAGGGTTTTCTTTCATAGGTTTTAACTTTGGTCTTTTTGCTTCATAGATTGTAACTTTTGTTTCATAAATTCTAATTCTTGTTTTATAGATTCCTTTTGTTTCATAAGCTCTGGCCATTTATTTCATAGATTCTGGTTTTTGTTCCATAAACTCTGGCCTTTTTTTCAGCTTTTTTTTCAAAAGTGTCTTAATCTTAAGTTGTATGCTTTAAATGCTTGCACATTTCTTGTTTCTTCTTATGCATTATCCTTTGTTAAAATTTTATTCTTGTTTTGTATATGTTGCATTTGGACTTAGTTGCTTTTAAAATTGTAAAATGGGTCTCATGAAATTGTCTCAGATAAAGACAGTTTAGGCTTTTATCTGGCCCTTATAGAATTCCAAACAGTGGTTACTCTGCCAGCTAGTAAATGACTTTAGGGCAGCTGCCACTCTCAAAGCAGAGGACAGGTTTCTCCAGTTGCCCTCTGGTGAATCCCCAATCCCATCGATACCAATGCCAGAGAGGCAATTGGGCTCCTTTCAGAGGCAGATCTCTGATTGCATGGAACTGGTGGAAACTGAGGTGACAACTGAGGGATCATGGCCAGGGCTACTTTGGCAGATACCTAAAGGTCCCTCAGAAGAAACTAGCTCAGAAGAAACTAGCCCGTCTGGGTAATCAGTAGAAAATCCCCACATCTGGCCCTATCTGGATTCCTCAGTGAGGTGAAGGGGGAACTCTGTCAGTGATCATCAGGTATCCTGTCTCAGACAGATCTGAAATGATGCCATCAGATCCCTTTCTTAAGCCTCTGTTAAGAGTTGAGGTACAGGTTTGGACTGCTCTCTCTAGTAGTAGGATACCAATAGTAGTTGCTCAATAAGATTTATTGAATACATGAACTTAGGCCCTTCATTCACTGTGGATGCAGGTAATAGTAGGTAATAGTTATCAATCTTTTGCTATATACTTGACAACATACAGAAACACTTTACGTATATTATTTAATCTTCACAGCATTCAGAGTGTTAGGTAGGTATCAGTAATAATAACACTGTTATATTCACTTTATATTTTTACCCCAGTGGAATCAAATACCTTCCCAAATTTATTCTGCTACGAAGTGGAATAGCCTGGGGTCTAAGCCCCCCATCACTACTCCATACTGTCCTGAAGACATTTACCAACTACTTTAGGAAGATAAAATAGATGCACGTGAAACCATTAGTTGTAGAGTATACAAATCACCTACAGATGTTGTTACAGTGCAGGTTCTAGAGAGGCACCAAGACGGGCAGCATAATGAACTCTAAGGTGATGCCAGTGCTCCAGCCCTGGACTGTGCTCTGAGGAAAAGCCTACAGGGTACTTCCCCTTCCTACTTGTCAGGCAGTGATTGCTGTGGTTAGAGGCTGTTGCAGTACAGGGCCATTTGTCACAAGTGTCTCTTATCAGCGGAACACATGTATATGGTGTTAATTATCTTGTGGGCTGGGGGTCAAACCCAGGGCCAGCCAAGTACTCTACCACTGAGCCACACCCCTGAGCCCTGGGATTACTCTTAATTTAGAATTTGTAGTAAGTGTATTCATTTTTTGAAAGTAAAGATTCATTTATTTCAAATTCCATTGACTTTTCTAGATTATAGGACAGAGTGCATGAGTCTTATACACAGAGCCATGATAGTTTTTCAGTGCTAGAAATGATCAAACCCAGGGCCTTATAGGTACCACCGAGTAGCGCTCCCAGCCCTCAGCTCCACCAACTATGTGAGCGTGTGTGCATGTGCGTGCTTGTGAGTGTGTGCATGCCTGCCTGTGTGTGTGTTGTGCGTAGTACTGGAGACTGAGCCTGAGGACCTCACGCTGAGCTGCCTCTCTGACCCTTTTTATTTTTTTAGTTTGAGACAAAGTTTCACTAAATTGCTCAGGCTCTCCTCAAACTTGCTATATTCTCCTGCCTCACTTCGTGAGTGCCTAGGATTACAGGTGTGCACACTATTCTTGGACTTCACAAATTCTTACACTGTGTGCATGTGTGTAGCACACTCCCCAAATCAAGGCAGAGAACACTCTTATTCACTTTTCTTTTTTTGGTACTGTAGATTGAACTCAGGACCTTTCGCTTGCAAGACAGGTAGTGGCACCACTGAGCTAAATCCCTGGCCCTAAAATACAGAACACTCTTGCCTGGCATGGTGCTGTATATCCATAGTCCCAGCTACTCCAAAGGCTGAGGAAAGAGCATAGTTAATCCAGGGATTGGAGGTCACTCTGGCATCTCCATCTTCAATTTTTTTTCCCTCTCCTAATCCCAGAATGTCCCCTTCAAGTAACTACCACTCTGGTATCTATGACAACACATTACTCTTTCCTCTTCTTGAGCTTCATAAAAAAGAAATTATACAGCATGTATTCTGTGTCTGCCATATTTACTCACCATAATGTCTAAGAGATTCCTCCCTGTTGTTGTATATAGCAGTAGTTTGTTCTTTTTTTTAATTACTGTGTAGCCAGATATGGTAGCGCATGCCTGTAATCCCAGCACTCAGGAGGCTGAGGCAGGAGGATTACCAGGAGTTTGAGGCCAGCTTGGGCTATGTGGTAAGCTCAAGACTAACCTGACTCTGTCTCAAAAAAATTTTTTAACTGGTGTATAGAATTCCATAATATGAATAGTTGATGATTTTTACATTTCTTATGGATGGAAATTTAGGTTGTTCTCAGTTTATTATGAATAAAACATGTGTCTAAATATGTTTTTGGTGTATTTACTGGTATATATAGGAACAGGCTGCTGGATCATAGAGTAGGCATATGTTTAGCATTTGAACCATATTTTTAAAAATAGAATTTTGTTATGAACGGTGTGCTACATATTTTTCCTAAAACACATTGAAATAAAGGCACAATTATTAATCTTTACCCATGAGCCACCTAAATGTTATTTCCCAGATAGTACTTTGGTAAAAATTAGTGTGACTAGAGAAGGCATGGGATTTGGAATGAGAAACTCTGGGTTGGAATGTTGGCTCTGCTTAGATAACTATAGCTGTGTGATCTTGGTCAAATGATTTATATGCCTTAAGTGATGGTTTATAATCTGAATCCCAGATTAATGAACTTGAACTTTGTATTAACAACATGATGAATCTTACAGAGGTAAAAGTTGAGAGAAAGAAGCTGGATCTCAGAGAACACATTGTATGATTTCATTTATATTCCAGAAGATAAAAAGCAACAAACGATTATATACAAATGGTCATATGCCCCGTAACAATGCTTCCATCAAGAAGGGCCGCATGCCCGCCATGGCCCCATGTTAGGTTGCCTGGCAACTTCCTAGCTGTCTTAGTTTATGT